TTTTGTGTATACGAAAAACATACATTATGCAAAAGACGACATAACTATTCTCTTGATGGCACACATGGCTCTCTTGATGTAAATTAGTTTATCCCTGGTAAATGTTTCTTTACGTAGCAGAAAACTGATGGATAATACTGCATATTTTAACTGGTAGAGAGATGATTAATTTATATATAAGTGTGTTGGTGAAATGGACTTCACTCGGGTTCCTTCAACTCGNCACTCCAAATCAAGAGTGCAAAATGAAAGTATAGTAATGAATGTTGGGAGAATGAGGTTTTGAGATACCTTAGCCCTAAAGGGGTAATGTACCTTAATACCCAAGTTAGGCTTGACCCGTACCATTATGCCATGTGTCCTAGCTCATATGTGGACTTATTCTCCAATATATTACTTCTTATCCATTAAAGTCGGTCTAGTATAATATCTCATATCATCTAGTCCCTTCCACTCTGGTTGAGTAAGCATGACTCGATCCAAGAGTGAAATGCCTCTTCGGACAGTTTCCGTCAACCTGCCATTGAGGTTATAATTTGAATATATCCTCGACCATCAAATAGTCACCAAACCTCCAAATGAGCACCGGGACCCAAATCACCAAACCTCCAAATGAGCACTGGGATCCAAATGAACACCAAATGACCATGACGTCGAAAATCGAAAGACCTGTCTCTGAGGTCGAACACCGAAAGACCTACCACAGAGGTCAAAAACTAGATGACCTGCCACTGAGGTCGAGAGCCGAATGACCTGCCTCTGAGATCGAAAGTCGAGTGACCCACCACTAGGGTCGAACACCGAAAGACGTAGCACAGAGGTCGAAAACTGAATGACTTGCCACTGAGGTCGAGAGTCGAATGACCTGCCTCTGGGATTGAACACCGAATGACCACTGAAATCGAAAATTGAGTGACCCGCCACTAGGGTCGAACACCGAAAGCCGAATGACCATTGAGGTAAAAAACTGAGTGACCCACCACTGGGGTCCAACACCGAAAGCCGAATGACCAATGAGGTCAAAAACCGAGTGACCCGCAACTGGAGTCGAACCATGATTCCTAGAATAGATTCATTTTTTCCTCATTTTCTAATGTTGACCTTCCTTTGATATCTCTCGACCTGCTTACTTGGACTTCCATGATACTTTGATAGATTTTCTCGATCTCTCCCCGAAGTCTTGAATTTGAAAATTTGAACTCACGCCTGCTGTTTCTCGACCATCATGTTCGAGCTCTCTTCACTCAAAGATAAACCTTTTCTACCATTTCGTCCTATCGCCCCTCAGTTTAAAATTTTAAATTAAACCTTGTTGTTTTCGCGTTTTAATTCAATCTCACCTATCGATTTCGATCTACCTCCGACGACTTACAGTGCTTGACCTTCGTTCGAGGTCTGTCACCGAGGTCTACGAATAAATACATAAACCACACCAAAGAAAAACCATCAACCTGCCACGGAGGTTTGAGAATAAATTCATAACTCATACAAAGGAAAAACCTTCGACCTGCAACCGAGGTCTGCCAATGATCTGCTCCAAATGAACTCCATCGACCTGCTACCGAGGTCGAAAAATAAATTCGACAAAATCAAAACCAAGTAAATATCATCGACCTACCACCGAGGTGCTCGAATAATCTCCCTGAATTGCACCAAATGAACTCCTCGACCTGCCACTGAGGTCGAAAAATAAATTCGACAAAATCAAAATTAAGTAAAAATCATCGACCTGCCACCGAGTCCTCGAATAATCTCCCTGCATTGCACCAATAAATAATTTCAGAACACGTTGAGTCTAGAAGGCATTTTTTCACGCTTCGTAATGTTATATGGAAAATATCATGCTTTGTAATTTGGCTCAGATAAAAAATTATCATTTTTTTTATATTAAATAGCTTATTTGGAATGCCATATATACACATATTTAATATATTTAAAATATTCTATGTAAATCTATTTATTATCTTCATTCTATAATGAGCATATTATCTTACTTTTCAAGTTTTGTACTTTGTCCATATTATACTATTAGGTGTTTTAAATAAATATTATAAATAAAAAATGATGTATATTATTTAGTTTCTAGAATTTAAGATGATATTGTTAATTTACTTAGTTCATTATTATAATTGTTATATATTGTTTCTTATTTATATTTTGAAACTTCAAGAAAATAAATAAACATTTTTTTTTATTTTTTATTGACACCCGTGCAGTACAAGGGTATTGTACTAGTTAATATTAAAAAGTAATATAATATCAGTTATAATGAAAAAAAAGTTATTTATTTATTTTGTATGTATAACATAGACGTCAAATCGAAACTAATCAAGGCATAATTAATTTGATATATTATATATAAAAATATTAATAAATGAAAAATTCTTAATTTTTAAATATATTTATTATTTAGGTTAGTAAATTTGTTTTAATTTTAAAAGAAATACGAAGACAATAATAAAAAATTTAGAAAAATTATACCTTATAAAGCACGTTTATAATAAGAAATGATATTAAAACATAATTATTGCTCGTAAAAATTACCATAAATATCCATTATATTTATGGATATTCTAAACCTAGTTACTTTTTGATTGGAAATAAATCAAAATTTATCTAAGCCAAACAGCAAAGCTTAAAAGTTTAACACATTGGATCTCGAAGAGTGTGGGCCTGCCACTTAGGTTCAGAACATTCTAAAATTATATATAGGAGGATATTAAAAAAAATATTGGTACTATTAATAATAATTTTGAAAATTCGTTCAATTAAGAGTTTGGTGGGTAACTATGGAAACAACTTTAGAAGTTATAACCCATTTAGCTTAAATCTGTATGCAAACGTGCCAGATTTAATCAGCGGTGGATCCAGAAATTTTCACGAGCCAGGGCAAAAAAATAGCTTTTAACCATATTACACAAAGTACTTATATTAATAATTAACTAAGTTGTTGAATCAATCGGGTCTTGATGGGTTCTCTATTCAATATGTCTTTGAATTGATGCTAAAAACTGAAATGGAGAATGAGGTGTGGTTATTTGATTTCACGTTATTATTATTATTAATAAATATACAAAAAATATTATACAATCCCGTTTTCATAATTTTTTGTATAAGTTATATGTAAACAAGTCATTTTAAAATAAAATTTATTAATTTTTTTTTAAAAAAAAGCCTAATTGTCATAATTTTAGGTTATGTCATTTTATGAAGAATTACTTATGGGTTATCTTCCTACATATAAATGTAGAGTTTTTTTTATCCATGTTTATTAGAACTTTCAAATTTAAAATCTTGGCTAACTTAAATTGTAAATATTTTTAAAGTTAATAACATTTATATTTGTTATCAGTTTTTATTTATTATAAATTAAACTAATAATATTTTGACGACTATAGTTTTGCATTAATATCTTATATATAAATTAAAAAAATTATATCAATCAACTTTCTATCAATAAAAAATTAAATATTTATTAACTATGACTGGAAAATAATAAATTTATCTATCAAGCTTATTATATAGTATAAATACTAAAAATATTGTAACACAGTGCAGTCAAATTTGACAGGTGAGGTGTATCATTTTAAATAAAAATAATAATGTTATCATGTAAGAATTATATAAAATTTTAAAATTAGAACTTGTATTAATATTTTTACAAATATTAAATATAAGTTTACAATTAACACATGTAATGATATGAAGTTAACACCAAAAATCCAGCCTAGGCAATTGCCTAGGCTGGCCCATATGTGGATCCGCCACAGGATCTAATTGTGGTGTTTACAACAACCTTGATCCAGTCTAATGTAGTTTGATGTCCTTGAATTACTCCGAGTACCTACAAAACAGCACTGGAAGGTTTTCTAATGTAAAATCTCAGACGCTCAAGTCAGTATTGGTGGAGAGGGTGATATATAGATAATAATAGCTTAGAATGTTCACAAAGAGAAGAAGGAAAAGTGATTATTATACTGCACCCTTTTATATAGAGTCATTACTTGTTGCCTAAGATTTGTCGGATCTTGCTGTCCAAGTACATGTGCTGCCTAAGATCTGCATAATCTTGCTGCCCTCCTGGCCAATGTTTGCCCGATCTTGCAACCCGCATAACCTTGCTGCAGAAGATCCTTTCAAATCTTGTTGGCCAAGCATTGTTCTTATTCAATTGTGTTCACACTGTTGTACTCACATTGTTCTTCATTCTTTAGGTAGTTGCCCCATGCTTGACCGAGCTGAGTTGCCCGATCACCTCTACCTCAGCTACTCTAACCTGGTTGATCCAAAAGCTATCTCTTGAGATCAGGGCCGTCCCAGAAATCTGGAGGCCCCAGACAGTGTTTTTTAAAAGAGGCTCGTAATCGTATTTTTATATTTTTAATTTTTATTAATTGAAAAAATAATGAAGCTAAAAAGCTAAATTTATTTACAATTTCTTCTTCAAATTATAATAAGTTATCATGCTAAAATGCTATTATGCTCTCGCCTCTGAACTCATAAAATCTTACAAAAACAACTCAACAAGCTACATAACCCTTTCAAGCCAATTTAATCATCCGCATAATGAAGCTAAAAAATAACAAAAATTAAAACATGTACTGAACCCTAACACAGAGACACAAAAAATATTTAGAAAATAGAAAAAGTTCCTACCGAGTTGATTGAGAAGCCTAGCAGCGGTGCCGATGCGTGAGGCGGTTGTAATGAGGGCGGAGGGATTTGGCCGTCGAGCAACTAAGCTCCACGGCGAAAATTGCGAAATTGAGATTTGAGCGGTTGTAATGAGGGCGGAGGATTTGGCCGTCGAGCAACAAAACTCCACAAAGAAATTGCAAAATTGGGATTTGGTTTTGGCAAGTTCAAATGCAACTGAAAGTAATTGACAGACTGTAAAAGCGAATACAACATTTGAACTTTTTATAAATGAATTGGGCCAAGCCCAACCCAATGCATAATATATATATGAGGTCCCCAAAAACTGAGGCCCTAGGCCGGAGCCTAGCTGGCTGGCCTGCTTGATATGGTTATTTTTTATTCTAGGTCAAATATATGTCGGGAGTCCTAATCCAATTTGAAATTGTCCTCAATACAACCGATCTTGCTCCGAACTAGCTTAACCATTGTACTATCCAAGCTCCCAACTGTGACAAGCCAATCGAGGTAGAGGTACTTCGGAGCTATACGAGCTCTAGTGTTGGTATGGTATGCATATCAAATTGGGTCAAGCTCTGTTTTGATCTAATTTGGTCAAACTGAATTGCGATCATACAACACCAGACACCAGTCCTTTTGGTGGCCATTAATTCAAATGTTAGGTCACCATTTGCCCACGCAGTTTGAGGGATATCTCACAATTTATCCCTTTCCTATGATAACACCACCACCTACTCCCTCTATTTCTTATCTTTTCCTTAAAAAAAAAAAACATATAATAGCAGCTTCTTTCTTGCTTTCATTTCCAAATTCCAGTTACAAGGGAAAGGGAAGTTCTGAGAGAGAATAAATCAGAAATGGCTACAGTTCCTCTCCACGCGAGTCGCACTCTACCTTCGTTACTGAATAGCCCAACACCTCGAAAACCTGCATTTTCTCACTCTCTTTCGCTTTTACCAAAATCAGCGCAGTATCAATTTCATGGCCTCAAGCTCTCCACCTCGTCCCACCTGTCAATCACTTCTTCTGCTCCTGCAAAATTTTCAATCGTTGCCAAGGTACATTTTCTTGCTCCCTTATTTGGTAAACCCTTTATAGTTTTGAGCTATGACTTCATTATTGTTTTTTGACCTAAATTTAAAATGTTTGTGTTACTCTTTTTAGATCGATATCGATTTCACTGTTTGGCCGTGTTTCCCTTCCTCTATTTGTTTATTTTGTTTAATCTTTGATTGAGGTGGAAGGTAACAGAAGGGACGATACCACCGGCATTTACATTGAAAGACCAAAGTGGGAGGACTGTAAGCCTTTCTAAGTTCAAAGGAAAGCCTGTAGTTGTTTATTTCTATCCTGCTGATGAAACCCCTGGCTGCACCAAACAGGTTGGACTTTTTACACTGTATCCCTTATTTCATGAATTGATTACTGGGAAGCTGAAAGTTGCTCGGAAAGCCTGTTGATCAAAATATTTGTTCTTCGCGATTATGTTTGTTCCATTTTGGAGCACCATGGAATCATTATCTGCAACCTTGTAATTAGTACATTTTCTTGTTTAGCCTTGCCTCAAGTGATGTAACATGTTATGTAAACTTGGTCAGCGGCAGGCAGTAGAATGTTTTTATGCATTTTAACGGGTTGTTGGCAGGGTGTTGTCGAAAGCAATATGGAGTACATTAAAGATACTACGAGTTAGGAAATTAAGGTTTATGGGATACTAACATATTTCATGACATATAGGAATGATTTTGAGTATGTTTGTTAATGTTTTAGATTGTAATACATAACTGTGAAAAAATGGAAATGTTTATCATATGTGATTGGTTCTAGAGAGATTTGTGTGTGTGAGGATTATGGACAAATTTCAGGTGAGTTTTTTGTATAGATTTAAGAGGTTTGGAACTTATTATTCTTAAAATATTTTTTTATTTGGTAACAAAATCTAAGTTTCTAAAAATAACTTGCAGGATGTTTTGACAAATGTGCAAGAATTGTTAGGCCCTGAATTGTTCAATGTGAGGGTGTTAGGGGTTTCCATTGATTATCATTTGGTTTCTCTCACTGATGGTTTTCAATGAAAAGCCTTGTGGCTGTGTCGGATAGAGTGGAACTTGAGGATAGTGACCATAATTGTCCAATCTCCAGGATGTACAATGCTTGTTTATAGCACCCATTGTCAATTTCCTGAAGAAACCTAGCTTCTCAGAAATTTTCACGAATATTATGCATTATAACTTGATTCGATCGAGTACCTTTCTTGAGCCATGTAATTATATGATGAGTTGACTCTGCTCGATAATCATATTTTTGAACGCTTGGTTTCTTAGAGATAAAACTTGTTAGTCCCTGCTCGTCTTTATTTTCAGCTAGGATGCACTGTTCGTGTAAGCAAAAATGCTTCCCGACACAAACGGACACTTTTAGGATAGAAGAAGATATTGAACAACTCAAAGTATTGATTATTCAGTTTTTTTGCTGTGTTTACAAATACAAAACTACATCTCTATTTATAAGAACTAAAAACAACTACCTAGTGACTTTCCTAGAAATTACTTAAGCTGAAAAATCAGCCCATAATGGCTGCTATGAAGGTGCTTTGCAGCTGCAAGGAATTTGCATTGCTATTGCAATGAAGCTGCAAGGAAACAGCAGATTATATATTTCTTACAATTCTTCCCCTAATCATGCTGCTCTTCCTTGTTTCCTATCATTCCAATCTTGGTCCTCAGCTCCATGAACCGAAGACGGCCGAGTGGCTTGGTAAGGATGTCTGCGAGCTGCCGTCCGGATTCGACAAACTCCAAAACAATATGTCCTTCATCGACACAATCCCTGATGAAGTGAAAACGGGTATCGATGTGCTTGCTCCGGTCATGGAGGACTGGATTTTTTGCAAGGGCAATGGCGGGCTGGTTGTCCACCATCAGAGCTGGTGGACGAGCTTCCTCGCCGGTCAGCTCGCCCAGCAACCTACGCAGCCAGACCGCCTGACATGCCGCTGTGGCTGCCGCCACGTACTCCGCCTCGCACGTAGACAACGCCACGATCTTCTGTTTCAACGACTGCCATGAGATTGGGGCTGATCCAAGGAAGACGAGCACACCGGAGGTGCTCTTCCGCCCATCAATGTCGCCTGCCATGTCTGCATCGCTGAAAACCGTGAGCCGCAGCCCACTTCCACCGCCGGTCTTGGGAAAGATGATGCCCTGGTCCACCGTCCCCTTGACATAGCGCAACAGCCGCTTTACCGCAGCCCAATGATCCTCTCGGGGGTCCTCCATGAAACGACTGACATAGCCCACGGCGAATGCAATATCTGGCCTCGTGTGGACTAGATAGCGTAGCCCGCCGACGATACTCCGGTAGAGTGTTGCATCCACCTTTTCCGCGGTGCTGGCTTTCGTCAGTTTCAGCCGCTCCTCCATTGGAGTCGCGCATGACTTGCAGTCAGCCATGCCGCTCCGCTCCAACAGCTTCCCCGCATACGCACGCTGGCAGAGAGTGATGGAGTCTCTCCCCTGCTTCACCTCGATGCCGAGGTAGTAGGAGAGCTGCCCGAGATCGCTCATGCGGAAACGAGCTGCCATCTCGTGCTTGAAACCGTTGATGTCCCCTTCTCGTGCCCCGGTGATGATCAAGTCATCTACATACACGCCGACGACGAGCTCCTCCTTCCCCCGTCGTCGCGTGTAGAGCGCGTGCTCAGTCTCGCAGCGCGTGAACCCAAGCGTACCCAGAGTGGCATCGAGCTTGGCGTTCCACGCTCGCGGGGCTTGTCGCAACCCATAGAGTGCCTTCCGCAGCCGTAGCACCTTGTGCTCCTTTCCCTTGACGACGAAGCCCGGGGCTTGCTTGACGAAAACAGTCTCCGCTAGCTCTCCATTTAGGAAGGCCGATTTCACGTCCAGGTGATGAATGCGCCAGTCCTTTGCTGCCGCCATGGCTAGCAGTAGGCGAACTGACTCCATGCGCGCCACTGGTGCAAAAACTTCCTCAAAGTCGATGCCCTCTCGCTGGACGAAACCGCGAGCAACGAGGCGCGCCTTGTGCTTGACTATGGCGCCACACTCGTCCCGCTTGACTTTGTAGACCCATTTGAGCCCGATTGGATGACAGCCTGGAGGTGGATCGACGAGCTCCCACGTCTCATTTTCCTCGATCGCCTTCATCTCCTCTAGCATAGCTCGTCTCCAATTGACATCTCCCTCGGCCTGCGCGAAAGTCGATGGCTCCTCTGCGCTGACGAGGAGCAGCTCCTGATCATCGAGTAATCGGCTCGCTAAGCCTGGTACCGCCGAGTTGCCAACAAGGTTGTCCATCCTGCGAAACCTCACCCCCTCGCCGTCGTGGAAGGCATCCACATACTCGTCGATGTCGCTTGGAGGAGAGGCGAACTCAACTGTCGTCGGAGATGTCCCCTGTCCTGCCGCAGTAGGGGAATGTGGTGAGGGTGTGTGTGCAGCCACTGGTGGAGATTCTTCGCCCGTGCCCGTCATGGCAGGACTTTGCGGCTCATCCGACGCCGCCACAGCTGTTGGACTTGGCGCGTCCGCAGCTGGCTCCTCTACTCCCACATCTCCTCCTCCGTGGATCACCAAATGCTCGATGACGAACGTACCGCCAACGCCACGGGCTTCCCCCGTGCCAGGATTCTCCCAATCCCAGGCCGCCATTTCGTCGAACACCACATCCCGCGAAACCACCACCTTGCCTCCACGTGGATCGTAGAGCCGATAGGCCTTGCTCCCCTCCTCGTAGCCTAGGAACACCATCGGTGTGCTCCTATCCTCAAGCTTGGACATGAAGGGCTTCGTCTTCTTCACATGGCCAATGCACCCAAACGTCCTTAGAAACGAGACGTCGGGCTGCCTACCATGCCAAGCTTCGAATGGCGTCATGCCCTTCAGGGCCTTTGTGGGCGCACGGTTGAGGATGAACACTGCCGTGCTCACAGCCTCTCCCCAGAACTCTGCTGGCATGCCCTTTGCCTTCATCATGCTTCGGGCCATGCCCACCACGGTCTGATTCCGCCGCTCCACTACACCGTTTTGCTGCGGTGAGTACGGCGCAGTGTGATGGCGCACCACCCCCTGGTTTGCACAGTACGCAGCGAATTCCACCGATGTGAACTCGCCACCGCGATCCGTCCTCAGCACGCGCAGCCGTTTCCCAGACTCTACCTCGGCTCGCGCCTGGAACCGCTTGATTGCCTCTGCTGCCTGATCCTTACTCGTCAGGAGCTGCAGCCACATGAAACGGCTACAGTCATCCACGAGCAGCAGGAAGTAGCGCCGTCCGCCATGCGTAGCCGGTGTGATCGGCCCGCAGAGGTCGCCGTGGACTAGCTCTAGGACGTCCGCCGCACGATACTTGGCCGCCTTTGGGAAGGGCAGCCGCTTCTGCTTCCCTGCCAGGCAGCTGTCGCACAGCTCGCCTGCGTGCTCGATGTGCGGGAGCCCGCGCACCATCTTCCTCAGCCGGCCGAGTGCGTCGAAGTTCAAATGGCCGAAACGAGCATGCCATAGCCATGGCTCTTCGGTGTGTCGTACTGCCAAGCACACTGGCTGCTCCACCTTCAAGTCGAGGAGGTAGAGGTTTCGCAGGATGGACAACCTTGTTGGCAACTCGGCGGTACCAGGCTTAGCGAGCCGATTACTCGATGATCAGGAGCTGCTCCTCGTCAGCGCAGAGGAGCCATCGACTTTCGCGCAGGTGGTTATTATTATTTTGAATATATCATAAAAATATTCCCTTAAGTAAACTATATTGTGGATGGTAATGTTTTTGTGAACTTTAACTTAATACGTCGTGTTTGATCAAAAAGTTGTTCGAACTCTGACTATGGCTTGTAGGACAAAAATATTTAACTAGGAATTGTAAAGTGTTTTTTTAAAACACAACAGGGGCTTCTTTCGGTTGGTCTTTATTTTATCCATGATATGCAGACTAATAGTGGCAAACATGACCAAATTATTTTTTATTTTCTTCCATTTCTTTATAACAATATACTCCTTAATGGTTCCACCTTTTTTGCACTTTTACAGGCATGTGCCTTTAGGGACTCTTATGAAAAGTTCAAGAAAGCAGGTGCTGAGGTTGTCGGAATCAGCGGGGATGATTCATCATCCCACAAGGTATCAATTTTTACATTGTTTCTAGGATTTTTTTTTTTTTATTATTATTATTATTATTATTAGCACAAATGCACATGTCCGTGTGTTCTAAATTTTTGGTTTTTGGACTTTCAGTAATATCTTTGAGTTTTTCTTTTTGTGTTTTATATTTTTTAGTTTTTAGAATATTACCTATTGCCTTTGGCAATTTCAAATGCCCCCATTTTTTTTTTTGTAAAAATATTATCCTCATTCTAGAGAGGAGTATTTGTTGAGAAACTAAGCGTGTGATTAGATATGGGTTTGATTGCTTTTTTATTAGTTTTTTTAATCATATTTAATTTTGAAAAAGATAATCGAAGTTTAAATTAAAATAATATTTAAAATAAAATAATTAAAGTTGATTTGATTTAAAAGTAGGAGAAAAATAAATGGAAATGATGGTTGGTTAAAATTATGTGACTGAATGAATAATAAATTAAAGTTGATGTGATGTGTAAGAATGATTAGTTGATGTTATTTAATTATATTAACTAGCGTGTGACCCGCACGGTCTGTATTTATTTGGGAAATATTATATTTTAAAATATATAAATAAATAAAAGTTTTATAATAGATATGCAAATTGTACAAATAATGTTTGACAAAACAAAAATCATATATTATTAAAGACTTCTTTGTACATAACATTATTAGTTTGATTAGTGGGTGGATTCAATAAATTTAGACCTCATTTAATAAATTTATTTTCACAAAAATTTATGGATCTGGTTAAAATTTTTGACTTTCGATCGAATTCCGGAATTTTTTATTCGAAAAAAAATAAAAATCGGAAATGAAGTATTGATTATTTTTACATATCTCTTTGTTTTTATCAAATTAATTGTAGATCTGGGTGGATTCTGTAAATTTTGGATCCCATTTAAAAAATTTATTTTCAAATCAGGTCTTTAAGTGTAAGATCTTGTACAGATCTTGAGATTCATATCATTTCTATTATGTTTTTTTTAATGATATTCTTGTAATTCGATAACATAAATGGTCAAATCTTGTTTAATATTTTGGCCTTCTTTCCAAATCCCATTTTTTTACGATAAAAAGAAAATGCAAAATGTACATGAACTCTTCATATTTTTATTTAATATCTTTTTTCTTCTATTTTGATTTCGTAAACGTCTAAAAGTTGAGATATACAAATTGAACTATGTTCATTATTCTGGATAAATAAACCACAAATCCCACAAATCATAAGGTATGTATTTGTTTTCGCATTTTTGTATATTGTTTACAAATAATTGTTATATTATTTACATAAAAAAAAAGTGATCTGTTACATATGTTTATTTTCCATTTGTATGTAATGCTGTAATACTCTTTCAAACAAATGATATGGCATTTTAAAATTTTAATTTAAATTTGAAATTGGACCCGAAATCAAGTGGATAAATTTTGGAAACAAATGTGAGACGGGATTGTGAAGCTGCATGCATGAGGATTTTTTGTTGTAAATAATGCACCCAGATTTTTTTGGAAGAAGTTGTATGCATTCTTATCGAATTAATAAAATCCCCAAATTTTATGCTATTAATCCCCCAATTTTAGGCTACATTTAATGCTGGCCGATTTTATGTTAAAATAAGAAAAATAATTTCCGAAAATGGCATGTAATAAATGTTGACCGAAAAGTTTGACTTACTATTTTTGGTAATTAGTTAATCTCTTTATATATATATGTTTATATATGTATATATATAATATTGCAGATAGTGGAACTGAGTAAAAGTTTACTTAAATTTGAGTTTTAATTGTAAGTTTATATGCAATCACACCCTAAATATTGCAAAGAGATCGTAATTCTGAAAAATAAATAAAATTTTGGGCAATTAGGCTAAAACCTTAGAGGTAATTCAATTTTGTAATTCCACCACTATTATTACTCTTGGGTAGGGCATTATAATTTGTAGAAACTAAGTGAAGTGTTTGCGATGATGTCACAGTCATTTGCGGAGAAATACAGACTTCCATTTACCTTGTTAAGTGATGAGGGCAATAAAGTCAGAAAAGATTGGGGTGTCCCGTCGGACCTTTTTGGTGCATTGCCCGGAAGGCAGACTTACGTGCTTGACAAAAATGGAGTGTGTCGTCTTATTTACAATAATCAGTTCCAACCTGAAAAGCATATTGATGAGACCTTGAAGTTTCTCAAAAGCATTTGATACCGACCCACATGTAACTTTCCACATTCCTCAACCAATTTTTGTCTTTTCGCCTTCTCTGGAATTTATGCTTACCATTGAATATGCTTTGCTAGGAATATTTTCCAGCACTATTCATCCATGATGTAAAAGTGACGGTTGGCTTTCGCTCTACTTGCGTAATTGTTTTGTGATATATACGAGTGCATCTCATTTCATTCTGTTTTTGGTTGTCACACATGCGATCATTTTGGAAATATTATATGAATAAGTAAACGGTGAAGGCTTTCTTTTATTTTTGTATTCTTTCGGAATGTACGATGATGCAAGACTGGGAATGTTGTTTATATGAAGGATAGATTAGAAATTTGAAGTAGTAATTTGTGATTTTATGATATTCTTTACATGAAATTAGATCAAGTTATATTATTGGGAAGCAGGAAAAGGAAAAATCAAAACAGGGGATGGAATATGTGACTGAATGGTTATGGACCTTTTAATTGTTTTACTCAAGAAGTAAAATTGAAGCCTTTTTATTCCCATGTAAACGAGTTCAAACATACTGGTACACTACTAACCCAAATTATTTGTTTGATCCCCTACACATGCATTTATTTTTTATTTCAAAAAAAAAAAAAAAACTATTATGAGTTATGAACTCTTGATTTCATGATAGAAGCAACTACTTGTCATAAATAGATAATAGCATTTAGTGATGAATTTCTATTTTTTGTGTTGTCGATAATCTTGGCTGGTATAAGGGCTAAAAGCCTCAGCAAGCCAGTTAGGTTTCCTCCAAGAGTTCCACCCCATTTCCTCACAAATCTGGTCAGTGTGGTTGATGCTGAAAGTTGAGATGCAACTCCTTTTGAAGAACCTTGTGGCCTTCTTCATTATCTCCATCTCCTCTGTTATGTGCCAAAGCATTCGCTCCATGCTCGGGAGTTTGAAATGGCCAGCCAGCAGACGAGATAGCCACTTGCACCGTATTTCAGCTGTCTGGAGGTTTGACACACTTTCTATGTACCCAACAAATGCCGTATTTGGTATCAATGGGTTGATCGTGCCTCTGTCCCATCATTATACATTTTCTCAGTTATTATTATTTCCTTCTAATCTTCATTAAGTTTTGCTAATCTATCTGTTTATATGTAAAAAAAAAGAAAAAAAGAAAAAAAGAAAAAACCATTTATTATAAATAGCTTGCTAAATTTTCTATTAAAAATTATTAGTTACGAGTAAATGAAATACCGAAATGTTATTTATATTTTCTTTAGCTTTTCTTTTCTATATTTTTGAAAAGAAAATTTCGGAATTTATTTACTGATTTGATTTTCACATTACATTAATTAAATCTGTTTGTAATTTACATATAGCATCCACCTAAAAATCTATCAACTTTCTTTAAAAATCTATCATAACAACATCCGTTTATGATATTTAAAAACTCATGAATAAGATATCATAAAAATATTAATTAATATGCAAAATATGTCGTTATGCACTAACTCATGATATCATTCCGTCATTGGATTAATTGCAAAATCTATAAATTAATTTTAATCTATAGATTTCTTTCTAGCATAAATTTTATATTTCTACATTTTCTTTTTGGACAATTTTGAGGTATTAGTAGATGACTTTCCGAAAATAGATGAAAGTGTAAATAAATGCATACCTGTACAAGGGCATCATGCCGGAAGTGAAGTCCAGTAGAGCACGAAATGAGTCCGGAAATATTGCTTTCAACTTATCTTTGCCATCAAAACCAGTTGCAAGAACCACCACATCAGCATCCAGCCTTTCCCCATCCTCCAACTCAACTCCTCTCTCCCAAAACCACCATTTCGAAGCACATCTTTTTATGACTATTTTGCCCTTGTCGGCCTCCGAGAAGAAATTCTCAGGCAATATGGCCATCTGGCACGAAGCGTAGTCTTCCAAAAACGGGTGTTCGGGCCTCAGCCCGTACTTATCCAACGGGAGCTTCCACGTTAAGTAGGACTCAATCAATTTCGAAACTACCCTTCTCTGAAAATGACCATGCAAAGAAAATCCAATCATTAAAAATAATTTTTTTTTTCGGTAATTAATTAAGTTAAATTCTTAATCGATATAATTACCATAGGAGAGAGGATGTGGCAGAGGAGAGATCGGATTAAGCTTTGATTTGGGCGATCGTATATGAACTGAGAAGCCCTTGTTGAATAGAACAAGTAAAATGGCAAACCCCAAATCGAGTAATGTGGGACCGTCCAATGTAAAGTCCTCACAACCATTGTGCAAGCTTGCCCTTCGCCTCCTATGTATCAATCATAAATAAAATTATAATCAACGGTTGAGGATACATCTATATGTTGGTTAGTAAATCCAATATATTGAAACATACAAGTAATAATTCAAATACTTAATCTCATTTACGACCTTAGGTTACTGATGATACGCGATCTATCTATTCACTCTATCTTTGTTTGTTTATGTTTTGAATTTTAGCCAGCAAGTGCGATATGATTGTGAAACTTAGACGTACGACAAGTCAAATGAGAATTTTTTTAATAAACTTGAATGATTTTGGTATGAAGCGTCTTTTGTAATGCAATTATTTGATTTAGAGTGGAAGTATTTCACTACGTGCCTTTTCTTGACTAAACCAAATTGACTAATTTTGTGTCCAGGGAAAGTAATCTATCAATTTTTAGAGAGAGAGAGTATTGAGTTAATCTAAGCCAGTGAATATCCGGCTAATTCCCATATTAACAATTGGAGAATAGTGTATCAATGAATAAAAGATATTTAAAATTACAAATACCTTGGTTTGCTTCAGCACATTCAACCGCCAAATCTATAGCCGATTTCTTGTAGCCAAATATGACAACCTTCTTATCTTTGAGCAACTGAGTTGACTCATCCTGGTTGAGCTTACAGTAGTCAATAGTGTGCAGGACTTTACCTTCAAATACTTCAGGGCCTTTGTTTTCTGGGAATTTCGGTATTGCAGGCACATCGCCATACTTTCCAGTACAAATCACCAGAAACTCGAATGCGTACCACTTTGTCATATCATGTACAAAGAAATAATACTTAGTTGGGATAAAATAATATTTTATTTTTTAACTTTTACTAATGGTTGAGAGTGGGACTAATTCCATGTGTTTACTCATTCATGGTCACATAAACATATATTTGTCCCCAGTTATAGTATAAAGAATTAAAAAAAAAAACATGAAAATGATAAAATGGGACGTGATGTCTCATGCATGCCTTTCCTTAAATAATTGTCAACCAATCTTGTTCATATTATAATATTTTTATTGGAATTAAAGATTAAGACTTCGTCCCAGCATCCTAATCTTTAATTTTCCCAGACTCCTGGAAAATACAGAGAAATTACAATAATTGCGAACATAAATATTCACTACTGGAAAATAACTGCTTCCACTAGGTAATAGTGAAAGGAAAGAAAAAAAAGATCAAAACCTGAATATTTTCAGATTGGCTGGTCTTAACTCCGACTTCCCACACGGGATGACCGAGGAATAAATTCCCATATTCACCCGAATTTTCAGATTCGCCAATGTAACGAAGTTCGACTACCTTTGAGTTGAACTTGACGAGTTTCAAAAAACGTCAAAGTATGTGGCGTACGAATGCAAATAGTCCAATATTTCTTGATAAGAAGGAAAAGTTGCGTAGTCCCTTTGAGTCCAAGGAAAATCGGAGAACTCAAAATCACGACGAGGGGTTTGCAATTTGGTTGAAGCATAGGAACAGTGTCTCCAAACCCCTCCTATGGAGTCAGTGGCCTCAAAAACCACGGGCTCGTGTTCGGAAAGCTGCTTGGCTGCGGCTATGCCGCTAATGCCACAACCGATGATGCCAATCTTGTGGAATTTGGTAGGTGCCATTTTGTGTGTGGTTATGTTTATTGTATGTGGCTTTTGGGGTTCCGAGGGTTTCGTGTATTTATAGGCTAGTTTTGGGGTTGCATGGAAAATTATCATAATAGAAAAGAGTGAGATTTTTTTTTTTCCTTCTTGAATATTTGTATTTAGTGATAAGATAATGGGGAATGCTACCATCCCGTTGCGGCATGGTTCCGTTGTGTTTTTAACCGTTGGATTAACTACCCATTACTAGATTACGGTTGTGTTTGGTATGTCAAATAAGCTAGCTTATAGCTTATTTGGTTAGCTTATAAGTTCCCTGTATACAAATAAACCTCGTTTGGTTGGACGAGCTTTTTTAAAAAGCTCGAGTTTATCTCATAAGCTACTTTAGATAGTTTTTCAAATAAGCTAGTTGAATTTTTTATTTCAGCTAGCTTATCAGCTAATTTTACCAAACACTTTTATCATATAAGCTAACTTTTCAGCTATAAGTCATAAGCTATAAACTAAAAAATTACAAATAAGCTACAAACTAGCTAATAAGCTATCAACTAATTTTACCAAACATAGCCTACATGTATATCTATGGCTCGAAAACACAACAGAACCATCTCGTAACGGGATGGTAGCATTCTCCTAAGATAATACGAGATGAGATTTCTTGTTACATCTTTTGTATTTTTAGTTATTTATTTATTGGAGTGTATTAACAAACTAGTACAACGTCCGTGTACTACACGGGTGTTTCATAAAAAAAAAAGTAATTGTCTAACAACACAAATAAAAAAAGATAAAATTCTTATTGTGAATTAAAAAACTATAAATAATTATAAGAAAATATTTTTTTAATATTATTTTGAATTCTATATAATATTTTTATGAATTATTTTTTATTTTATTTAATATATATTTCTTTTTGTCAAAATTAAATAGATTAATTAATTTATTTGACAGTTAGTAACACCCGTGAATATCACGGACACTTGAAAGTTAAATATTTGTAAAGAAGGGAACACACACACACACACACACACACACAAACACACACGCACACACACACACACACATATATATATATAAGAATTTTATATTTAATCTTTAGCTATATATAAGTAGAATGATTAAAATTTAAATATACAACTAATAACTAAAAAATAACAAAAATAATTATTTAAAATAATACTCTTATTTTATACTCAAATGACTAAAATGATAATTTTCTCAATCAATTACACACACACACGTACACACACACATACATATATATATATATATATGCAACTCAATAATTTAATTTTGAATTAATATTTTTTTTTTCGATTTTGATTATACCAAACCTACATATTTTGTATAAAAAATTATTAATTTATATCAAAGCCTGACTCCGAAGCTCAATTTTTTTATCACATTCCGAAGCTTGAGAACATGTCACTTAGGCTCAACACATTTTGTAATTATATATAAGGCAGATGTGCATACTATAAACATGTGTGGTTAATCTATTGAATGTATTTACATGTTTCCTCATCTAACGAATAATATTTTTAAAAATTAGCATTAATATTATTCATTAACTAATGTAAAGTTTCTATAATACGTAAAAAGAAAAGGTCAATATAGCACCATTTTTAACAGTCTATTGATCTACTAAAAGGATAAAGCAACACATATATTTAAGTAAGCGAAAATTCTATGGAATCGTCAGAGGGTTTTCTTATGAAGCCATCTACCACTTAATGTATTGATACCTGTCTAAAGTGTATTTATTGTAGGACACGTGTCAATACACTATTTGTGAATAGTGTGGATGGCTCCATAAGTCGAGTGATCCGATGATTCTATAGCAAAACTAGTAAGTAAATCCAAAATGAATAGTAATTTATAACTATANACCGTGAGAACCCCTATTTTTAATTGTATGTAGTGCTATGATTAATTGTGTTTTAGTGCTATTTTTAACTAGGATGTATTTGATTAAAAATAGCAACAAAATTTTTATTAGTATTTATGAAAATGATAGCACCATGTAATATTAAAAATAGCATCATACACAATTAAAATAGCATCAAATATGGTTCTCACGGTTCTCACACTAGACATAGTTTTTATTTGAACCAGCCTATATATATATATATATATATATATATATATATATATATAATGGTTGGAAGAATATATAATAAAAATAACTCAAAATTTAATAAATTACTTTTGGTTTTCCTACAAAAATCGTTACACCACATTTTATTTATTTTTATATCTTTTAATCTTATCCAGCAATCAACCACCTATTTTTGCCTAATTTTGTGGATGTAATGGATGCATGAGGATTGTAATTTTTTATTTCTCTAATTTGTTTGGAAATCTATCACACCCATGCAACGTTCTCTAAAAATTTAGTTGTAACATAAATGTTGCATAGTGACGAGATAATTTTTATACCAGTAAGTTTGAATGATTACAATTTTTTTTATTATATTTGTACGCTAATTACTCACATGTAAAAGAAGTACTAACTATATAAATACAATCCAAAATAATAAAAAAAATATCATTTAGAATGCAGATGCTTTCACAAACTCCTCCAAATTATTCCTGCAAAATTGTAAATTATTAGTTTAATTTACTTAAAAAAATAATTTTCATATTTTTAATTATTAATAGTACAAAAAAATTTGATGATTCTATAAACATATAGTTGTAATAAAATATTGATATTTACACCCTTAGCTGAAACATAAATCATGCTCAATTAACCCCTATACATCAGCCCATATACATCATTTAACTGATTTTTCATAATAAACAAAATAAAACTTTTTGTAAATTTAATGGTTGCATAATATAATGGAATCTAAAATTATATATCTTTATCAACAACAAAAAATAAGACAAATTAACGTAGATGTCTTATTTTAATAAAATTAATATCTAAACATCTGCCCATTATATATGGTGCGATTGTGTCGTTCTGAGACTGACTCGGAATATGAGGCTTCGAAGTATTGGTGGGGGTGATCAATACGATAAGTTGAGTTGGAATTTTCTAATAGATTCCAACGAAAATTCCAACAAAACTATTTTGTTGTAATGAGTTTCCCATTGGAATTTCCGTTAGATTTTGACGATTCCAACGGTAGATTTTTCAATGGGGTGTAAATAAAAATTCCAACGGAAATTGCATATTCCAACGAAAATTCCTACAATAAAAAGCCATTGGAAATATAGTTGTTGGAATCATCAAATTCCACCTAAAATTCCAATGAGAAACACATTCCAATAGGATATTTTCGTTGGAATCATTCCAACGAAAGCTATACATTGGAATATCCATTGGAATATATTACCATAGGATTTTCCGTAAGAAAATATAATTTTTTTTGTAATGTATATATATATATATATTATATATCAAAATAAGGAGGAGCTAGTGTCGTTTGTTAATTAATAAACGCCTAAAATTACTGTTATTGGGGCCATTTCATTAACAAACACCTTATAAAACCCTAAATAAAAAAATGATCGAATTGCGCTAAATTTTATTCTTTGATAAGTATGACAACTTTTACTTACATTCTTGTGCTAAAAAAGAAGTCTACAGGTGGATATTTGATCATATATTTAGCGTAATAGTCTTTCATTATATGCAGTAATATTATTTGTTTCTTAATTGGGTATGAGATGTGATTTGGAATGTNTTCTTTAAATTGAGACCATATTTAAGACATTAGTTGAAACTCAATAATTAAATTTTAAATATAAAAAGGAAAATAATTCAAAACAATCATAAAAGAATACTACAATCATACACACACTTCCGAACAAGATATTAATTGAATCTTTCAACCTCGTGTTGAAGAATTTGTGGACTTAGATTCATGCATGCAACCCCTTTGTGGAAATAGGAAACATCCTAGAAAATAAGATGAAATACAAAGGAAATTAATGGAACTCATACAGCTTGCCATTATTTAGTCAAAATAAACATATTGTTTTATTGACAAATGCAAGAATATATGCTCCATTTTTTGTCCTGAAAGATTTATTTTCTGGCAACAAGTTCAAAAATAATATATTGAAAATTCATCTATACAAACAAAAGGGATTTAATGGAAGATCTACATTTATTTATTTATATATTTTGGTTTTTATAATATTATGTAGATTTTGGAAAAATTTGCATGATCTTATTATGTTATTTTGTGTAGGAAATCGGACCTTTGCTTGGAGTATAAAGGGACGTGCATGGAAAGGAAATCAAAAGAAGGAAATAAAGAGCTATATTCACTTTCCATGTTTCAACATCAATACTTGGAAAGAAATCAAAAGGAGAAGGAAATTGCTTGAAGAGGATTCCATACCTAAGGAAGATATAAATACCCGACTTGAAGATCAATTGTTGGCTGCTGAGATTATTATCATTCATATACTATTCGAGCTTCAATTGAGAGTTCAAGATTTTCTTAGTTTTGTTTCTGTGTTCTTACGTCATCGAAGAACTGAAACTACTTTCGTTTAATTTTTCTTATAATTGTTCAAACACTTTGTTTTAGTACTTAGGGATTAAGTACTGGGTTTGCTCGAGGGATTCGAGTGTGTAAAGTCCACGGGACGTGGCCAGAGAAGTAGTTGGTAGGATCGAGTGTAGTTGTGGCTAAGCTAGAAGGGATTTCTAGTTTTGTAAGTCCAAACTATACATGAGTGAACAATCAATTTAACAATGAAAGATCTCTAAGGGGTAGTGGAACGCTCCCCAAAGAGTTTTTATCTCTTGTTTGTGCTTCCGCTATATAACCTTATTTTGGTGTTGCGACACAAATTGAAAATTTGCAAATATTCCGTGCTCTTACACAGTTGAGAGCACTCTATGGGTAATACCTACGCTTCAATTGGCACCAGAGTAGTGTTCCTGTTCTAATCACAGGATAAAGATCTTTGGCCCTTTGGATTGGTGACCATGAATCACGACGACATGTCAGTTTCGCGCCCTCCGTACCTCGATGGATCGAACTATAGAT